ATCGTCGGCAATAATTACACCATTTTTTGAAAGATGGTTTGCCTTTAAAGTTCGGGTTCTTTTCGTAAATATTGAGTATTTCAGTGATTTTTTCAACGAGGTCTGTTTCTGATTCCTGTATATTATTAATATTAGTGGGAGTCGTTTCAATTTTGTTAACGTATTGTAATTTCAGATTTTCCGTTTCTTCTAGTTTCATCGTGATTTCTGCTTGTTCTAATTTGTCTACTAGTTTTCGAAAATCTAAATCGGGTTCTCGAATTGAAGAAGGATGGGATGCTCTCTTTTTTATTGCTATTTTCCTTAATTGTGGTGTTAAGGTCATCATTAAGATTTCTGTCATCTTTGTGTTTTTATAGTCATGTGTATTTAGTGAGTATGCTTTTCGAACTAGTGTTTCGATTCGTACTGCTATTTGCTTGATGGTTTCGTTTGGTAATCTGCGGATTTCATTACATAAAACTCTTTGTTGTTGTTTGTTTCTTTCGGAGTCAAACATTTTTGAAAATTCTTGTGTAAATCTTTTCCAGTTTGATTTTATTTCTAGAGGTAGTACTGAAAACCATTTTTGGGCTGCGCCATCTAAGGTTGTTTGTATTAACGCTGTGCGTCGATGTATCCAATTTTGATGTAGTGGCGTATTAATTGGTTCAGGTCCTATATTTAAAATCAGGTTTGCTGTTACTGCATTTAAATAATCTTCTACAGAGTATTCAGGGTCTGTTCCTGTGAAAACCATTAAAGGTTTGTTTGATGTTATTGATGATCCACCCATTAGGTATGGATTCATTGTCATTTGTAGTGATTCTGCTGCATTTGGCATTTGAGAAAAATTTGAAAGTTGGTTTCTTGTTATTTCATGTTGTTGGAGATAATATGGGAGTGGTATTTCATTTTGCATTTGTGATGGTTGATACGAGTGTGCAGTCATTGGATTTTGTTGTTGAATTGGTTGAAAAGATTGTGTATTAATTGGATTTTGTTGTTGAATTGGTTGTTGATGTTGTGCATCTATTGATTGTGGAGAAAAATTTCTATGATTTGTACGTGTTCTCTGTATTCCTTGTCTACGATATTCTTGAGTATTTGGTGCAAATATATCTGGTTGTAAGAAATCATCATCTGAGGATAAATAATCCATTTGATAAGATGTTTGTTTTTTATTTTTATTCTGTTGAAAAAATGGGTAATTTTCACTGCGATCCTGTGGAGGATTTGGTTGAAAATTTTTGGAATTATATTGGGCCGTTGGGTTATCCCAGTTTCGAGGTTTTGTATATTGATTAAAATTCCTTTGTGGTTGATAATTTGTTTTTGATGGATGTGTATAATTATAATTATGGTCTGCAAAGTTGTTTCTAGTGAATGTTTTGCGTGTTTTTGATGGTATTGTCATGGGTCTGTATGTTTGGTAATCCATATGTGAATATTTAGGGGCAACCGAAGGTTTAACGGTTGATTGTAAGGTTACCTGTGTTTGTGAAGGATTTGTATTTCTTGGTGTTGTTAAATTTGGGCGTATTGGTGAAATACTTTGTTGTGTAGTTGTTGTGTGTACAATTTCTTCATTTATGAAGTGTGATGGTGTCTGGATATCTTGTTGAGTAAGATTCCTAGTTCCATTGAGGTTTTCGTTGTGTATGACTGTCGAGTTTAAACTATTATTTTGTGTATCGGGTAAAAATGTATTATAGTTTAATGGTGTTGCATCAATTGTTAATGGTATTACTCTTACATAATCTCTTATGTAAGATATTGTACCTATTGCTTGACTTGAGATTGATTGTGGAAAGCTTATAAATGCGGGATGAGACCATTCGGGGTCCCAAACATAATCTGATTGTTCTGTGATAGCGGTATCATCGTTCGAATTTTGGGGTCTAAAATTTTTTCTTGCTTGTGCAATTAAATCAATATTGTGTGTGAAATAATCTATTATGAACCATGCCAAAATTTTTTGTAAATCGTGTTTGGTATGTTGTGAAACGTCGTCTTTCGTGAAATTTTCTTTAATGATGTTTAAATAACTAGAGAGTAGTGTGATTTCATGTCGTACTCTTAAATGTTTAGATGTTTCTGTCGGCGAGACATTTGTTAATGGGAGTTCATTTTCTAATATCGAAATATAACTATATATTATTGCGAAAACTTCATTGGTGAAAATGGAGTTTGCTCTTTGTGAGTTATGGTATTGGATGCTTTTTATATATTCTGAAAAAACTTTTGAAAATTCTAAATCAAGATCGTCTGTTTGAATTGTATATGTTCTATTATTATGGTTTGGTGAGGTGAATTCTATAGAGTAGATTCCATACTGTTGTGTTATGTTGCATATATCTTTTAAGTAGTGATCTATGATTTGTCTTTTGATTTTTACATCGGGGAACTCTGTTTTACATGGGCTGATTCCGGGTTCAAATAAATTTACGAGTAAATTTTGACAAAATATGTGTTGTCCTCTATCAGTATCTGCATCTACTATAAAAGGAAAGATTTCATCATCATCTGGAGTTTCGTCACCTGGGGTGTGTGTTGAACTCATTTTTTCGTTCGATGACTGTTAATATGTAATTATTAATGTGTCGAATTGGTTGATTCCAATTGTATAGATGTACTGGTTTGTGTTTGTACTGTTTTTTTATTCTTCTTTTTCCTCTTTGTGATGAATTTGAAGTTGTTTCTGAGTCAGAAAAATATAATTGATCGTGAAGTGGGTAATTTTTATCTACTGATTCTTTTAGTTTGTAAAGTTTGTCTAAACTGTTGGTTTCTGATTCTGAAAATGCGTTTCGATTTTTTGAAAATCTTTTTCGTGTTATTTGTCTTTGTTTAGTTATTATTTTCCTCTTTAGTGTTTGTCGTTTTGTGCGAATGTATCCAACTGTTTGTGTATGAGGTGTGATTACAAGGTCGTATTTTTTGTTATCTATTTCACAATTGTGTAAAATGATTGTTTGTTTATTTCCTAGGTTTTTAAATGACATAAGGTTTAGAATGACGGATGCAAAGGTTGTTAAATGATTTCTATTTTCCTAAACTGTTAGTTCTTACGATTTTTTGGTTAGCTTAACCTGGGTCTATTTGTTCAGGGTTGGAGAGAAAAGTATATTGATTCCGAAGAATGATTTTTACTTTCTCGTGACTAGTATAAGCTAAGGTGTTAACTTACTTAATCTTACTTAGGGGTAGTGATTGTGTTCAAGGGTTGGAGAATAGTAAATCGATCCACAAGGTTCAGGTATAATTAGAACGCGAGTAGTTCGTTAGATACTATTTTAAACTTACTAAGTCTAAGATTTATCCTGGGTCTGGTAAGAGGGGGGGTCAAGTGAAGGATGAATAACCGAAGTTCTTCACTGTTTATCCTAATTTGAATGATTAGTTTTGTGTAAAAATTTCTATTAGTCCTGGGTTTTTAGAAAGGGTTGGGTAGTGAATCGACGTTTGAGGTCGTTAGACACTAATTAAGTGGGTGGGGGAGAACAAAGTTGTTCTGTTTGATCCAAGGATAAGCCTTGATGATCAAGTTTGAAATTTAATTAAGTAGAAAATGATTTAAGATCCAAGGATAAGCCTTGATGATCTGGTTTTAAAATTAAGTGAATTTGAGTTTTGATAAATTTTTTAAATGTGTGTAAAGGAAAGATTTAGTGTTTTATGATGTTAGTGAGTTGATGATTGCTGTTATGTTTTAGGTGATGAAGCTGGAACAACAAGATGATTTATGATTACTAACCATTTATTGTCATGCTACTAATTTTTATTTTTATTTTCCAATAAATATTTTTCAAACATGTTTTGTATAATACTGCAGAGTTTTAGGAAAACGATCTTAGATCTTTTTATCAATCGTTATTGTATAATATTAATTTTGTTTAGCGCCTGAAATGATTTTGAAGATTAACTTCAAGGTTTTATGTTTGCAAATGGAAATCTAAATTCATTGCAAGTAGTATTCGAAATATAAAAGTTTGTTCTGGCTTTTGCCGAACTATCATATAACTATACGGCAAGTTTCTACTTTGTCGTATGTCGTCTTTGGTTCGAGGTCTTCTTCCAATTCCGGGTAGTTCTATTATGGTTCGGAATATTGGCTCTGATCTATTGAGTCGGAGAGACATTTCAATTAAATTATTGTCGTATAACATTTTGTAAATGTTTTTGTCTAATTTCTAATCTATTTTTGGTTAATTCTAATCTAGTAAGGTCTTGTTCGAGACTTATGGTCGCACCAGATGAGTTAGGACTGGAGTGTATAACTCATAGAGTAATTTCGGATAGGGTACACCGTCTGCTCGTCACGCTATCTTATTTTCGGCCGGATAGATTCGTGCAACTTCTTAGTCTAATACCGATCCTAATCTTACTCTTATACTATCTAGTCTCAGGTTGTTTAACTAGTCTCTGCTAGGCTCAATAGATCTAGGGTATACTGGTTTATTGCGGCTGCTGAAGTGCTCGGGAGAGTCCAACTAATTTCTAAGTTAAATTCAAATCTCTCTGGTGCTGAAATTACAAGTAACTTCAGCACTTACAAATAAGTGGGTTGTTAGTTAGATGGATCATGATTGGTTAATATTAAATACTTTACATTGGTAAAACATTTAATTTATCCAATCATAAAATATAGTTTAGATCAGGTTCCACAAAGTTTGCTTCAGTACTCACCAAGAAAGTCCTCTCATATTTGAGCAAAAAGTCTAGTGGGTTGTGCCCGTTTTTGTTTTTCACAGTTTTACAATTTTAAATATAAGCTGCGTGTTTTTTTTGGTTGGGATACTAAAGCGCTATTTGAGAAATCGACAATTGGCTTAAACGAATTGGAGAACAAAACCAAAAATAAAACTAAATCAATTCTTTAAAATTGAAACAAAATTGGTCAAATTTTTAACAAAAGTCAAAGTTTAAGGAGAACGAAAACTGCAGCTTTAGTAATAATCTTTATTACAAAGTACCTGCAAAAGCCCATTTACTCTCTGTGAACACAAAATTTGCTTCAGTACTCACCAAGAAAGTCCTCTCATATTTGCTGAAGACCCAATTTCTAAGGAGACGTCTTCGAAACACATACTTTCTAGTGGTTCCACAACCTCCTATCAAAAAGTGTCGAAATCAGAAAGAACTCGGAAAAATGAAGATAACCGCTGGAAAATATCCGAAGCAACTGTTAGCAAAACTTCAACCTCTGATCAGAAGATTTTGAGTCAATCAGCAAACGATAGGCAAAACTCCAATATTCGAGAAGTGCCGAAACGGCTGATAGTGATCACGCCGCCGACTTACAACCGAGACACTCAAATTCCCGATCTGCTTAGGCTGAAGCAAACTCTCCAGCTGGTTCCAAACTGCGACTGGATTGTGGTAGAGGACGCAGCTGAAGTGAATCCACAAGTTTACAGTTATTTGAAGGATTATAATTCCGGGTAACATTAATTCACAAATTTGATTTTCAACTTTTCAACTTTCAAACTGTTTCAAATGAAGTTGTTAAAAGTAACAACATAGCACTCCTCAAAAAACTACCAAGTTGAACGCGCTTAAAATGCATGATTTAAGTTTAAAAAAAAACTTAAGCAGCTGAGATATCGGTTACCTTGGCTTGGACTACTGAATCGTCTTGAACTAATTCCTGTTTGATTTATTAAATAGGTATTATGAAAACGTTTTTTTTTCCTGATGAGATCTGTTTTTTTTTTATTTTTTTTTGAGACGCTTTTTCGAAAAAATCGCTTTCCCAAAAAACTACCCGTCAGATTCTCATAAAAGTGGTACCAATGGATTCAGTAGCGTTTCACCTACCTGCCTGCATGAAATTTAGGGCAATTTTTACCCTACCCCACCCCCTACGGTCTTAGAAAAAGCTTCACAACTCGGTACTTTTTTCACTTTTCCTCAAAAACTACCCGTCCAGATTTGGAATTAAGGGTTTAAGCGATAGACCAGGTTGTAGGAAACTCCCATGCCCAAGCGGCTGGTCCCTAATTTGCTTAGGGGAAGAGCTACAGACTTAGGAAAAGTCACTTTTTTGATTTTTTTGCCTATTTTTTCGGAAACTATCGATTTCCTCAAAAACTACCCATCCAGATTTGGAATTAAGGGTTTAATCGATAGCCCAGCTGGTAGGAAACTCCCCGCACAAGCAACTGGTCCTTAACTTGCCTAGGGGGAGAGCTATAGACTTAGGAAAAGTCACTTTTTTGACTTTTTTGGCCTTTTTTCAAATCTTTCCGATTTCCTCAAAAACTACCCGTCCAGATTTGGGATTAAGGGTTTAATCGATAGACCAGGTTGTAGGAACCCCCCATGCACAAGCGTCTGGTCCCTAATTTGCTTAGGGGAAGCGCTATAGACTTAAGAAAAGTCACTTTTTGATTTTTTTGCCTATTTTTTCGGAAATTATCGATTTCCTCAAAAACTACCCATCCAGATTTGGAATTAAGGGTTTAATCGATAGACCAGGTTGTAGGAAAATCCCCCGCACAAGCGGCTGGTCCTTAACTTGCCTAGGGGATGAGCTATAGACTTAGGAAAAGTCACTTTTTTGACTTTTTTGACCTTTTTTCAAATCTTTCCGATTTCCTCAAAAACTACCCGTCCAGATTTCAGATTAAGGGTTTAATCGATAAACCAGGTTGTAGGAACCCCCCATGCACAAGCGGCTGGTCCCTAATTTGCTTAGGGGAAGAGCTATAGACTTAGGAAAAGTCACTTTTTGATTTTTTTGCCTATTTTTTCGGAAATTATCGATTTCCTCAAAAACTACCCATCCAGATTTAGAATTAAGGGTTTAATCGATGGACCAGGTTATAGGAAACTCCTCCGCACAAGCGGCTGGTCCTTAACTTGCCTAGGGGAAGAGCTATAGACTTAGGAAAAGTCACTTTTTTTGCCTTCTTTCAAATCTTTCCGATTTCCTCAAAAACTACGTCCAGATTTGGAATTAAGGGTTTAATCGATAGACCAGGTTGTAGGAACCCCCCATGCACAAGCGGCTGGTCCCTAATTTGCTAAGGGGAAGAGCTATAGACTTAGAAAAAAAACACTTTTTTTTTGCCTATTTTTTTCGGAAATTTTCGATTTCCTCAAAAACTACCCATCCAGATTTGGGATTAAGGGTTTAATCGATAGACCAGGTTGTAGGATACTCCCATGCACAAGCGGCTGGTCCCTAATTTGCTTAGGGGAAGAGCTATAGACTTAGGAAAAGTCATTTTTTTGACTTTTTTGGCCTTTTTTCAAATCTTTCCGATTTCCTCAAAAACTACCCGTCCAGATTTGGGATTAAGGGTTTAATCGATAGACCAGGTTGTAGGAACCCCCCATGCACAAGCGGCTGGTCCCTAATTTGCTTAGGGGAAGAGCTATAGACTTAGGAAAAGTCACTTTTTTGATTTTTTTTGCCTATTTTTTCGGAAATTATCGATTTCCTCAAAAACTACCCATCCAGATTTGGAAGTAAGGGTTTAATCGATAGACCAGGTTGTAGGAAACTCCCCCGCACAAGCGGCTGGTCCTTAACTTGCCTAGGAAGAGCTATAGACTTAGGAAAAGTCACTTTTTTGACTTTTGGCTTTTTTCAAATCTTCCTCAAAAACTACCCGTTCCGATTCCCTCATGAAAACTTTTTACCAAAGCGTTACCAATGAAAGCATAAGCTTCTCTTTCTTTTTTTTTGCGTAGGAAGGGCGCTATCGACTTGAGAAACCTTAAATTTTAAAACAATTTTAAAAGAATCAATATTAAAATAATCAAACAGGTCTCTCCAGCTTTCAGCTGGGCCCCTAGTAAGTTATAGCAAGTTAGTGAATTAAGATGAGCGGAACATGGTGAAAAATAGAGATTGAATAATGTTTATAGAATAAATATGAACAAATCAATCCACAAGTTGGTTTGCACCTTGAAACTTTAGAAACTTAACATTAATTTATTAATGTCTGTTTTAGTGGCCAATATTATGTAGCTGTGAAATCCGACTCGAGATATTTGCTCCTTAAAGGACGCTCTCAACGCAACAAAGCCATCCGAATCCTTCGAGGCCTCTACGAAGCACACAATGGAACACATCAATCGAACCCATATAGAGACTCAGTCGTGTATTTCGCAGATGATGACAATACCTACGATTCGCAGTTTCTAGAGTTGTTGAAGGAGACCAAAAAGATATCGCTGTTCAACGTTGATTTTCTCAGCAACGGATCGTACGGAGGGCCGATTGTTGAAAACGAAAAAGTTAATCAAAAGACCAAATTATAAACCACTGAACAGGCGCAAATTTAAAATTGGTCGATATTTTTAAATCAGCGCCACATGAGAAAAGCTGGCCAAAAATGTCATTTTTGAACCCTTTGACCCAACCCTTTTTGTGTTATGACCAAAAAAGTTGGCCAAAAATGTCATTTTTGAACCCTTTGACCCAACCCTTTTTGTGTTATGACCAAAAAAGCATTTAGAAAGTTACAAATTAACAACACCTAGACGTTATGAGTTTCTCCAAAAATCAAAATTTTAGCGTTGCAAAGCTCCATAAAGTTAATCACGAAGTAAGGGGAACTTAAGAAACAACCACGAAGTTAATCATAACAGATCATCAAACTAAAAAATTAACTTTCCACTACTTGTTTAGATTGTGGGCTTCCAGATTTCGTGGTACGGAGGTAGGAAGTTCCCCGTGGATATGGCTGGTTTCGCAATCAACGTCGACTTCATGAGCAGCAAAAACTTCCCTACATTTCCTATTTCCTGGAAGGTACACAATAAAAATATATCAAAGTTATGAGCGTTGTTTGCAATCAAAAGATAGTTAGACTGAAAATATGACTATTCAGCAGAGCTTTCTAGGGCTGAAAAAATTTTCTCTGTTTTCTCAGCTTCTCTGAATTGTAATGTGTTGTTTTTTGGTTTGCAATTCTGGTAATTGTTAGGTCATTTTTTCTAAATAAATTTCAGGGCTACATGGAATCCTTCTATTTGGCGTCTTTCGGTCTTCCCGCGAGTCAAATGCAGTTCTTCAAAGGTTTGTTCTTTTAAATGCTCAACAGTTCATTGAAAAACTTTATGTAAAAGTGATGTTTAAGCAGGGGCGGATTTAGGTTTTTCTCGAGGAGGGGGGGGGGGGGGGGGGGGGATAAATGTTCGAAAATTTTGACGTCCTTTTTTTTAGGTCGACCAAATTGATTTTCCGAGCTCTGCTAAATCACTAAAAAGACGCTGTTTTGGCTACATTTTCTGCGCCGCAGGCAAGTTTTTGAAAGAACAGGTCAAAAAGCTTAAGTGAAGAAAAAATCTATTTTTGAACCGGCTTTCGTGAGGAAAACAACGGAATATTTGTGCTCGGGGTGAGTTTTTTTTTCTTCAGACAAATGTTGACAATTTTTTTTGAATGTTATTCGATGCTATTGAGCTTGAATAAATGATTTGAATAAATTTGAAAAGACTTTTTACCTGTGATCATTTTTAACCAAAATTATGAGGGTTTAACGATGTCGACGGAATTTTTTAAATGTTATTCGATGCTATTGAGCTTGAATAAATGATTTGAATAAATTTGAAAAAACTTTTTACCTGTGATCATTTTTAACCAAGATTATGGGGGCTTAACGATTACCATTTTGGCCAACTTGGGACAATTAACGCGCGATATATATCGCGCTGATAAACGCGTAAGCGGAAACTTAATCCGTCTTAGAAATCGTTTCAAATTGGTTCAAGGAGCTTATATGCCATAATTGTTTGTTAATATGAGCAAAATCTATCCCTTTGTACTTAATATTCGGGGGATGTTTTTACAAAAAAAAATCTCAAACAAAAAAAAGTAATATAATATTTTTTTCATTTAAATTGTTTGTGTTTTTACTGCTCCAAAGACCTTGAAAGGCAGTCGGAACAATCAGGACTTTTCCATGATTCGGGCAGTCTTGTTACAACTTTGTTGAATAATGGGATGGGATTGGAATCGATTATAATCGATTTCTACACAGACTTTCTTCTAGTAAAAACATGAGTGTTCAAAGACTGAAACCAATCATAAGGGGTTTCCTACTGTTCAGAATAGTCTACAAAATGGCTTCTTCACGGTTTTAAGTCAGATTTTTCACGGTTTTAAATCTATAAAAAATCTGTACAAAATCTGTGTGAAATCGATTATAATCGATTGTCATGCATTTAGTAGTATAGTAAAAGTGGCTAAGAAAATGACCACCTTTAACCCCCCTTTTTTTCAATATGCCGTTGCACTGACCACTTTTAACCCCAAAGGGGTTAAATCTCCTACTGTTTCGGGCACACTAGTTTTAAGGGGGGTTAGAATTGGTAGTTTTTCAGCCTCTTTATGGAAACGGGAATGGAATTAAATTTTGGTTGGTGCATGTTTTCCCTTCTAAAGTTTGGGGGTATTGGTTTGTAAAATGACGCTATATACCTATTATATGCAACCAATTGAACCTAATGCAACCAAACTATATGGTATATAGGAAAGTACAAGATTTTGGAAGCGTAGCTTAACTGTTAGCTGCGGTGAACGATTTCCTTCAAAAATGCATGTTTTATTGCTGAATCTCGAAGGAAGGAAATTTCGTCAAGTGCGGCCGCTGCCACCTCTATTTAGGCAAAAATGAATGATCATTTTGAACAAAATCAGAATGACTTACCCGAAAGCTGATGTTGCCGAAATGCATAATAATCATAATCAAAATAAGATAAGTAAAGGGGGTGGTGAAGAAGGGGATTCAAAAAAAAACATAATTTGACTAAAAAAACATCTTCTTTATAAGAAGAGGTCTGAATAAATGGACACCGCTGGGCTTTCCATTAGCCCCAGCAGATCAACAGCCCTGAAACCAATCCAACCCCCGAGGGCGACTACGTCCCTGAGTTGCTCTAAGAAAATTTCCCACCCAGGCGATCCAGGGACAATAGGCCGGGAAATGGGTTTCCCCTTGACCCACTGGCGCCAGAGCTCCTTTACCACTAACACCTCAGGATCGGGCCTAACCTGAAAAATAATATGTACCTTCACAATGGAGATATTGAGGAGTACTAGACCGCCAAAAGGGACGATGACGGTTTCTTGGTATGAAGGTATCTAAAACAAGCAAGTTAACATTTTAAATCACATGAAATTGTTCGTCAAATAAAAACTTTTGGAACAGCGTATTTCGGAAGGTGATAATTGTTAAACTTTCCCTAATTTATTCCCGATTTTAAATATGTTTATCCCGAAAACACAGACAGAAGAAACAAAAACTTGTAAAAACGATTAATTTGTCGAAAGCTACTTCTGAAAAGTTATTTGACTTCTTGTTCGACTTTGACACTACTCTGATTGAAAGAAACAAAAACCCTTATTGAAAATTTAGGTTATTGTTTACGAAAATGTTAAGAATATATGAAAAAAGGCTGATGGTCCAATTAAATGTAAATCATCGAGTTGTAGTTATCAGCTAATGGTATCTAACAAGTTACTTATTTTCACTGTTTTGAAACAATAAAAAATTGAATTTGGAAAAACGTAGAGTTACCTCAACAAACTTGGAAATCTTTCATGAGATTTATTTGACTGTGAAAGAAACCTATCCGGAAAATTCTGACCTTCGAAATCACTTTCTGGCTGCATGTTCTCTGTTTTTCTTTCCAGTGAAATTGATTTAAATTATGACGTAGCTATTGAACTTAAACCATATGGAGGTCTTATTGGCATAGAAAACTCTTCTTTGGACAAATATTTAAAAGGTTTAAAAATATAACGTCTGCAAGCAATTTTACATGACGCTGCAGGTTTTGTTGAGGAAGTGTAACAGCAGTCTGATTGGTCATTTGTGCGGTATTACTTTCTGTTTACTCGTCAAACTAATCAAACCAGAACTCTAACAAATATTACAATGTTGAGCGAACGATCAGTCGTGATAGATTTGTAAGGATTTCGCTTTAAAAAAGTACCTTTATAGTTAGAGAATCAGCTCTTACGACTTCTGATTATTGCGACTCTCTCATTTTTCTACCATCAGTCCCATTCAACTCACTATCAAAAGCTGAACAAAAAGCGTACAACTAGTTAATACATTACTGGCACAGAATTCACTGGGAAAGCGGAAATTATTTTATATAAACCTAAATCAGATTTTTCAAAACTTTGTTTTGACAAATCCTAACGCTGTATTTTACGCCAAAGGAAAAGAGAAGGCTGAACTCCTTGCAAAGTACTTGGATCGAGAAGTAAGGAAAGAATTATCCATCTTGCAATAAACATTTACCTAATTACAACTCCAGGAATCACTGCACCCTGAAAAAATCGAAGGTTTTTTTGAGTGGCTGACAAATGAGCAACAACGAAAGACTAGCAAAAGCGGAGGCGTACCTACCTCCAAATTTAGTGTTCTTGGCTTGGACGACACCAGAGAGTGATATCAAAATAACTTTGACCAGAACAGAACAAAGCGATTGCCGAGGTGAAGTTGTGCAGCGAAAAGAACAATTTACTCTTTCAGGAGACGAATTGAATATTTTACGAATTTTTTTTCCCTGTGATTGACCAATTCATCTATTTTCAACGACACAAGAATCGTCAAATTGTTAGCCAACAAACGAGGAGTATGTCTTTCCAGGCTAGTCTTAGTGCCCAAACGTCAACCCGGAATTCAAATGGATCTTTAAAGCAGTGACCTACCTGAGGAAATTCAGAAACTAGAAAGAGAGAACTCTGTAAAGCAATTTGTATTTCATGCATAAACTGAATATAGGCCAGCCAAGTATGTTGTGGAAAAGCATGGCAGGACAATGTCATAACTAATGACTTTTCAAGTTATACTCGATAAGAGATTTTTATTGTTCTGAAGTATAGATAGAACATTTTTTCTGACAAAAACACATTTTTCCTTTCTCATTAAGAAACTAGTGTTGTAGATAGAGAGTCAGAAAGAACCAGGTAGAGAGAAAATTAAACTGAACAGCCGAATGTCTGAACTAGCAATTGATGAGCCTGATGCGACTATAACTATCGATTTTGCTTGTCATTAAACAAACACTGAGCGAAATTCTTGGAATTTTTGTATTAATGTTACGGTCCCCAGATCAGAAGTAGTTTTTATGTCTCAAATGGTTTTTTTTTTCATTTTAGTTACTTTTTGTAATTATAAACTTTCTTGGACGCAAATAAATTGTGAATAAATGTCAGTTTGGTTTTCAATATTGTCTGGTTTAGTTGGGTACGTGCTACCAAACCCAAGGATATGAATAAAAGTATTGATACGTCGAACAATCTGTTAATGGTAGTTATAGGACCGTCAAGATCCGCAAAAACAGAGTTGAGTTTCAAGCTATCGACACGAAGAACATTTTATCCCAGATTTGAAAGAGTGTTAATTTTTTACAAAGGTATTCAACCTGTAGTTATGGATGAGTTAAACTCTCGCAGAATTCATATTGAATTTGTAAAGTTCGATGGATTCGATGGTTTGAGAAACATTTACAACATTCTGTTAGTGATTGATGACTCATGCAAAGAAATATGCAATGGTAAATACTTCGTTAAACTAGCAACAGCAGGAAGACACAGGGGCTTAGATGTTATTCCAACATACTTTATTCCAACAAATCCGTTGGTCACGAACTAGTGATTTAAACTCATCTCACATTATTTTGTTCAAATCACCTCTTGATATTCAGCAACTTGATCACCTCGGATGGCTGCTTATTACACCTAAATGCTTATGACAATCGTTTGAAGTGCCCAGATTTAGATCCCCGACATCCTACTGTCTCAGATACTGTTCAAACATAATACCACCTGGTCTGTCAATTTTCCCTTTACCATTAAATAAAGCAGAAGTGACACCCAGCACAAATGAACGCGAAAAATCTATTTATTCTACATGGTACAGTAGAACCCAACTCAACTACGAGGCTTCATTAGAAAAAAAAGATCAAATAGTCAAATAAAATCAGTTGTTTGTTAAGGCTTGCTCAATGAAGTCAACGGTAATGTGCCTGTCAGTATCCCAAGCTTCAATAAATTTGAAA